CTGAGAACAAAGATGAATAAGGTCTTGATGGTGTGAAATAGTCATCTAGGAGCATAGCTGAGTGAATGGATTAAGCCCACTACCATCAAGTCAATTCCAACACATAGCAACACTATAGAACAGAGTACAATCGCCCATAGGGTTTCCAGGGCCGTAATTCTTTATGGAAACAGATTACCTCCTCTTTCTCCTGCAGAGGGGCTGGTGGGTTTCAACAACTGACCTTTTGGTTAGTAGCCAAATGCTTTAACCATTGTGCCATCAGAGCTCCTGTGAATGAACCAGGGGCATATAAAACAACTTTCTGGAACCATAAGGGCCCTCTTGAGGCTTTGGAAAGTTAATCTTAAGAATCATTAATAGAGCAATACTGGATTAGAATAGGCAAGACCAGGAGGATATAGGTATCAGGGTTACACTGGCTTCATAGAAATAATTCATTAGTGTTTTTTTTTTTTTTTTCACCTCTTCTTGTTCTGGAATTCCAGTGAGTTTTATGTGGTTTCTTCTCATGTCATCCCATGTAATTCTTAGGTTTTCTTCATTTCTCTTAAATCTTTGTTCTGAGTATTCTTCATACAGGCTGGTGTCCAGGGATTTTTCTTCTACTTGGGAAATGCGTTCTTCAGCCAGTTCTAACCTACTCTTTTGTGCTTCTGCTGTGTTGTGTAATTCTGTAATTTTTGTATTCATCTTGTGGATTTCTAACTGCTGTTTTTGTATGAGTTCTGAATGTGCATTAATCTTATTATTTTGTTCCTGAATGATTTTCCTGCATTCTTCCAGGGAATTCTCTGTGTTCTCCTAGTTTCTGTTTGGGGATTCCGTAGGCTCTTGTAAAAGTTCTATAAACATATCTTCTAATTCCTTCTCAGATAATTCTATTGCCTCCTCTTCCTCCATGTATAATGAGACCTTTGTGCTTTTCCTTCTAATGCCTTGTCATGTTTTTTGTTTGATTAGAGGTTGCCTGCTGTTTCCTAGACATTTTGAGGTTGTCTTTAACAGGTCGTTATGTACTGATTTGTTTTGTCTTGGTTTTATGAGTGGCCACTAGTGTCATGAAAATTTTAAAACATTTACATTTAGTTTAATCCCTAAAAGTGGTAGAGTTAAAAAGAAAGCCCAAAGGAGAGCTTATTCTTAGGAACGATAACTCAAAATTATATTGATGAGCTGAAAAGAGGTGGGGATTTAGGTACAGTGTAAAAACCAAGAGCTTAGATTTCTAGATGTTAAGCGTAACATACCCCATTTACTTAATTTCCCTTATAAAACAGATAAAAGACCAATTCGACACTTTGCATGTAGAAGAATTTTAAGTATGAATAGTCATTAACTTATTTACAGGTTGCTTTCATAAGTGAATACTTACTGATATTAGATGCTTTGAAAACTTGAGAATTATGTTACCTGTTTTTATAAAACATGACTTTTAGCCATTGGTCTAGAGCAGTGTTTTCCAAATATCAGATGTGACCCATTAATGGTTCCTGAAATCAATATATAATGGGTTATGATCAGCCTTAAAAAAATAATTTAAGTAGAGTCTACAAAATTTCAGAATATGTCATGTATAATAAAGGTAAGTATTGTTTGAGAAACTTGTTTCATTTAAGTCAATGGTCACAAGTCGGATTTTTTTACTGTGAATTTCAAGTTTTAAAAGTTTGAAAAACACTGGTCCACAGATCTGTGGCATTATTGGTATTATTATCCAGGAGAGAGAGTATAGTGAATTTACACAAAGTTTATCTTTAAAAACAAATGACATACTAGATAGTATTATCTATCTTTTTAGATAGTATTATCTTTCTTTTTCTAGTATTTTAAGAAGCATCAAGTCCCAAATTAAAACCTTCCTGGGGTGTGTAGCTTAGCTATGCAGAATTAGCTTTGACCTAAGCTAGCTCTTCTCATTGGGTAAAAATTGAAAATACACATTTACTATTCTGTTGGATATTCAGCCACAGTTTTGTTCATTTTAGGAAAATAGAGTTGATGAGTTTTCTTTTTTTTAATTAGGATTTGGGTGAAGATTTACAGAGTAAATTCACTTTTCATACAGCAGTTCACATATACTTTGTCTCA